GACTCGAGGACGTGAGCTGAAAGAAACTGAAGTTTCAAGCGACCCCAGTTTGAACAGTTGTAAAACGACTTTAACGATTAGAGAAAGCTTCCCCGCTTGCTGTGCCCCAAAAGGGTTCAAAAATCACTGCTTAGATTCTACCAACAGGACAGGAGATAGTTTATTCAGAATGGCTGAAACGTTACCGTTGTTTGTTATCAAGAATGATTTGTAGGATCCGTAGAAGATGTGCATTGGTCTCCTACGGAAGAAGGTTTGCTCGCGTCGTGCTCTTGTGATGGAACTATCAGGTTATGGGATACACGGTCCAGCCCAGCTGATGCATGTGTATGCACAGTAGAAAAGGTACTCAAGCAATGATCTTATGCCAATTTCCCGTTTGAGAAGAGCTGTTTTTTTTACTCACTGTTTTACTGAAGTGGGCATTCAAAGCAAGCGGGCGACTTGAGTAATTTATCTATGCATGATCTATATTTGCAGGCTCATACGTCCGATGTGAATGTCCTGTCCTGGAACACGCATGAACCACTGTTGGTAACAGGAGGTGATGATGCCGAGCTGAAGATTTGGTCCTTAAAAACAATTCAGGTCATTTTTGTTCTTATCTGTGGTTCATGGCGTAGTGCCTCTTCAATTCCACCCTTTTGCTGCTTGGAATGTCACATGAGAAAGGTTATACCTGATGTCCTTATCACCAGTACGCTCCGGCCTACTGTGTGTTGGGCGATCATATTCTAACGATTTGTACGCTGAAGTATGTGGTTGGACTGGAGTGTCGACAAAAATGAGTTTTCACGGAAACCTTTTACTTCCGCACAATTGAAGAGCTAAAGTCGTAACAGCTCAAGATGCATTCAGCTAAGAAGGAATGCTTCTGAGAGGCTCAGTGTTGGTGTGAACGATTTAAAGAGTAGCAGTAATTTTTATACTGCCGAACTCAGGGTTTCTGGGAGTGGAATCATAGGACTCATCACTTAATCCATTGAACATCCAGAGGGGAAGGCAATCGAACTTATTTCAGGGCACAAAAATGACGTACCTATAAATCGCCTCCCCCCCCCCCATTTTGGCTTCCATAGACGCTACTATCCAAGAAAAAACTGATTTAGGAAACATGACTGGTAGATCTCGCACAAGTTCTACCTTTACAACTTTACCCACTCGGTGGTCCACTGCCTGTTCACGGTTCATTGCGCAAACTTCGATAGTTTAACTTATTAAATTAGCCGTCATGGGGCTGATTTTCTTTGTCACGGCTATTATTAGTTCTTCTTCTCTGAAAAGCTATGTGAGTTTTGCCTTTTGCTCCGCCTACATCAGCAGATGCTGCGCCCGCTACGGGTGTCACTCTTTAGCTTCAATTGCCAAACCCGTTGCTAAACGTATAATTCTTTGCTTTTCTTGGGCCAACGTCATGAAATCGAGTTTCAAGTTTTTTTTTCACCTAAACTAGCTCCTGAGACAGTTCCAGTTTTCAAACTGTCTCCGGACCGAATTATGAATTTTAGCAAGCACCGCCCCTCCCCTTACTGGCCTTTGTCTACTTCTTCACAATCTCCGGGCTCTCCTACAACCGTATAATGAATTTTTGTCCATGACACCACTCAGAGCCGATGCACGCCACGCCCAGCTGAACGGGGCATAGCTTGATTAATGTGCGCTCTGTAGGACTTGCCCCATGCCCTAACCGTTCAACCCTAAGTTGACATCTCCGAGTGGGTACCTCTTCTGGTAAAAACGAATTACCGGACAGACAATCATGCAGACGAGCAGAAGTACCAAATGTACATAGAAAAGATTCATGATATTCAGTTATGATAAAACCAATGAATGCGTTGAAGATTTGTTATCCATACTTTTTTTAGTTTGGTCAGCCTGTCGCACGGTTTAAATACCACTCAGGACCCATTACTTCAGTGGAGTGGATGCCACAGGTATCTGTATTTGTTCGCTTCACTTAAAGCTCCACCTTCTAACATGATCACTGGCTGTTCACGAGCTGCCACTGCTTAGGAATCAACTTGCTTCATGGCCTCTGGAGAGGATGATCAGGTCACCATATGGGACATTGCCGTTGAGGCCGACTCCCAAGAATCTGTCGAAGGCGTTCCTCCACAGCTAATGTTTTTGCACCTTGGGCAAAAGGAGGTACGTTGTCGACCGATTTTCTTTAAATGGGTCAGCCTTTCAGGGAGTGTCAGCCTCGTTAATGCAAATAAGGAAGGCGCTGCTGAGCACACATTTCAGGTGAAAGAGGTTCATTGGCATCCACAAATCAATGGATTTGCTGTAACAACGTCTCTTGATGGATTCAACGTGTTTAGAACTGCGAATGCGTGATATTTCTTTTGCGACTGCGACTTTTGTTTAACACCTTCTATTATTTTTTCGTTCTTTTTTACTGTTACTCTGTTTTGTCTGTTTTGTTTTTGAAAAGTTTTCATCTTTGTTTCACATTGAATACTTCTATGCTTGTTTACCTGTTATTGTTTGACAATGAATGTTATAAAAACCAAAACGAGTAAATAGGATACGTGAGAAAGAACTTCAACAGTACTGGAACATAAGGCTTACCCGCGGTTAAGGCCCTCTTGCAACTCCTTTCGCACTGTCCTCAATTCGACCTTTGGTAAAAAAAGCATCTGAAACTCTTTTTAGTTTCAGAGGAAGTCCACAACAGTAATCCCATGGGGTAGACGGGAAGGAGTAGATAGTTGCCCCTGCTAAAATAAAT